TTACAAAATATCAGCCAACTCTTTTCATATGCATCAGCCTGAGGAAGTTTGAAGTGCTTACCTCACATAAGAAGAGCGTTAGATCCTAGATCTGCATCTAGTTACTCAAATGAACCTTGCAGGTCCCTGAGTTCAAACTCCTCATTTTACAGATGAGGGTCATACATTGAGGATTTAAGGGACTTTGGTTTCAGAGTCACTGCGAGTCTTCCCATTTGATTGTCATTTATCAAGAGCCTGATGTGTGCTAGGTACTTACTGAGTGCTGGAGATACAAAGACAAAAACAAAAATGTATTCTTGCCTTCAAGGAGCTTGCATTCTATTGAATTAGTGCCAGTTCATAAAATATTATTGATGTGTCATGACCAACCCCCACTGTTGCATTTTGATACTTCATGCACATTTTGATATGATATGAGTTGATAGATTCCCTAAAAAATCATGAGGCAAATGGGTAGCACCATGGATAGAGAGCTGGAGCTGGAGTCAGGAAGACTTGAATTCAAATCTGGCCTCAAAACTTCGTAGTGTAACCCTGGGCAAGTCATTTAACCTCTGTCTGGCTCAGTTTCCTCATCTGTAAAATGGAGATGGTAATACCACCTACCCCCAGGGTCGTTAGGATAAAATGAGATAATATCTGCAAAGCATTTTGTAGATTTTAAAGTGCTATAAAAATGCTAGCTATTGTTATTAATAAGCTGTACGTTGGACACATAAGGAGGTCAGATTTGATTTCCTTTTCTTTTTCCTCCTTAGCCCCTTCCATCTCCAGTCATGTAGTCTTAGGAGTTAATCACGCTCTTTTATCTATTCATGGAATATGAATATCCATCTTTGATTGAGTCGGGAGGGAAAATGACATAGACTTTGGCTGAAGATTGGCCATACTCTTGGAGGCTTTATTTAGCTAACCTGAGTTTGCCAGTTTGAGGCAGTTGTGGAGAAGATCATTGTACCACTACTAGACGGCAGCAAGGGGAAGGAGTGGAGTCTTTCTCCTTAACTCATTGACCAATCATGACCAAATCACTGAAAACAGGACTGCTCAACCAGAAACAGACATCCCATTCACCATCTGGAGAGTCAGTTTGAGAGAATTTGAGGGGCAATTGAGGAAACAAAGACACATGCTGTCTTCCAGTAGGCAAAGGTGCAGAGATGCAGTCATTCAAGATTGGGGCTGCAAGCAGATTCAAGAATCATGCTACCATAGAAGGCTATGGATTTGAGAGCAGAGAGACAGAGACAGAGAGACAGAAAGACAGAGATAGCGATACAAAGAGAGATAGAGAGATGTTCACATTTTATAAAGGAATAGCCTTGCATGAGCTCCCTATGCCTAACTAGTCCAATAATGTCACATGCAGCGACCTCTAGAGGTTGGATCCTTCTTTCCCTCAGTTCTGGGAAGCTAGGTGGGGGCACACAGAAATGCAAGCCTAGAGAAATGAGAGTTTTTTGGCTCCTGTCAGATCATCTCTGGAAGACTGTGTTCATTTTGAGGACCTACATTTTAGGTCCACATTTGAGGACCCATACTGATGCTAGGGAATAATGACCAGAGAAGGGCCACCAGATGGTGAAAGACCAAGTCTACATCATCTCAGGATTTCCTGAAGAGCTGGGGATGTTTAGCCTGGAGAAGAGAAGACTTGGGACAGGGCATGATAGCAGTCTTCAAGTATTTGGAGGTCTATCATATGGAGAAAGTATTAGATTTGTTCTCTCTGGTTTCAGGGGCAAAACTAGGACTGGTCAGCAGCAACTGCAAAGAGACAGTTTTTAAAGCTTCCTAATAACTAGAAATGTCCAAAAGTGGAACGTGCTGCTTCTGGAGGTAGTGGGCTCTCCCCTCAGGAGAATTCTACCAAAAAAAAAAAGGCTGGATAACTACTTGTTGGTTGTGATTTAGAGGGAATTCTTGTTCAGGGACAGACTGAACTAGATGGCCTCTGAGGTGAATGGTAAGAGTACTACATTTGCAGGCAAAGACCTGAGTTCAAGTCCTGGTATACCTATATGGAAGCAAGTTGAGACTCTCCCCTCCCCAACTCTTGCTTCTTTTAACCTTTTCTTTTGTTCATTCATTTTTCAGGGTTGTCCAACTCTTTGTGATACCTTTTCAGGTTCTCTTGGCAAAGACACTGGAGTCGTTTGCCATTTCCTTCTCTAGCTCATTTTACAAATGAGGAAACTGAGGCAAATAGAGTTAAGTGACTTGCCCAGGGTCACATAACTAGTGCCTGAGGCCAGATTTGAACTGAGGTTTTCTAGATTCCAAGCGTGGCACTCTGTCTCCTGCACCATCTAGCTGCCCTCTACATATTACATAATAATATTAGGATCATGCTTTAGTTTTCAGGCTGAAGTTTTACCTGAATGAGAAACCCTTATCAATCTTGCTTTAACTATCAATTTCAATGCAACATCTGCACTGAATTTTTAAAATATCCTTCTTGAAGATCTATTTTCTTTCTTACTTTCTTTTTCTTTCTTCCCTTCTTCCTTCCTTCCTTGTCCCTAATTTTCCCACTCCAAAAGTCTATTGGTGCTTGACCAGGTAATTTCCCCAACCCTCTTTACTGTCTTAAATGAAATGTCTCTTTAACTTGGCACCTAACTTTGGAGCTCTGAAAGAAGAGTCTGTACCCATTTTCCATGACCACTCTCATTTTGAGGTGAATAGACTTTGCTGCTTTCTGTGTTCAGCCAAGGCAAACAAAAAGGTAGACTTCCTCATAGGAAGATTCCTGAGAAAATGACAATGGTCCCAACCTGATTATGGGAAGAGGGATGGGCAAACTGCTCTCAGAACCTCAGGGCTGAGAGAGTTAGTGACTGTAGAAATTCTAGATTTGGAATCTGAGGGCTCTACTTTGGGGCATTGAAAGTTTGCAGGTCCCCATCCTGAGTCATCCCTGAGAGTCTGGAATTATATAACACTCCATACCCCAAGGAAGCAGCAACAGAACCAGCCCGGATCTTCTGTTTAGAATTTTGCAGAGCCTGGGCCTGACTTAGAGTCTGAAATCAGAAAATAGTCTGGAAAAATAAGTAAACAACAAAAAAAGGAACCCCACCCAAAACCGCTGTTATGATGACAAGGGTACTTAAGGCACAAACCTAGAAGAAGAGAATGACTCAAACATTTACCAGCAAAGCCCCAAAGAAAAGTACTGCTTAGGTACAAATTCAACTAGAATACCCCGAAGAGAGGAAGCAGAGTTATTGTTGCTGCTATTGTTGTTCTTAAGAGTTGAAATGTTTTTATACATGAAATGAGAACACTAGAAAAAAATGGAAAAGAAATGGCAATTAGGGAAGAAAGAATTGGAATGGAAACCAACAGTCTGGCATAAGAGGTACAAAACTCTGTCTATGCAACAAACCTGAGGCACTGAGGCACCCAAGCAAAGTGGTGCAGTGTTTAGAATGCAGAACCTGGAGTCAGGAAGGACTGAGTTCAAATCTAGCTTCAGACACTGTATGACCCTGGTCAATTCACTTAACCTCTCAGTGTCTCAGTTTCTTCATCTGTGAAATGGGGATCGTAATAGCACCTACCTCCTGAGAGAGTTTTGCAAACCTCACAGTATAATATAAATATTAGTTGTTATTATTGTTATTGTTGTTACTCTGAGGAAGCTGCCACATAGGATGGTGGGGAAGATAGAAGAGAGAAGGAGGTTACCCAAGCCAACCATATCATAGCTTCCAAATTTCACAGATTATTCTTGTTTCTTTCTGATGTAAGAAAAAAATGCCTGTTAGAGCAATCCAAAAGAGGATAGGAATAAGCATTTATATAGTGCCAGACACTTGCTAACTTTACAAATGGTCTGATGTGATCCTTACAGCAATTCTGGGAGGCAGGTGCTATTATTATCAAACCCACTTTACAGATGAGGAAACTGAGGCAAAGTGACTCGCCCAGGGTCACACAGCTAAGAAGTATCTGAGACAAGATTTGTACTCAGGTTTTCCTAACTCCAGGCCAAGTACCCTAAGCATTACATCACCAGCTGCCTGAAACAGAGACATGGTTGCTTTGAAGGTAGCAGATTCTTTCTCACTGGAGGTCTTCATGCAAATTATGGATGATCATTTATCAGGTGTGATGTAGAGGGAATCTTCTTCTTCAGCTATGATTTGGACTAGATGGCCTCTGAAATTCCTTCCACCCCTGAAATTCTGTGATTCTGTAAGTCAGGTTACATCTCTGTGGTTCTCATGCAGCCAAAGGATTGTCAGAGCTGACTGCATGTTGTCCTTTTAAATCCTGGGACCAGGCCCTTGCCTTGCCGAAGTTAAGGCTGTGCTCCTCAATTAGGCTTCCCCTCTCAGATGTGAGCTTCATAACCCAAATCTTCCTCATTGTTTACTAGAAAAATGGGTCCTTCAGCTGGTGTCTTCAAGGTCCTATTCTACATAGCTGGTCTAAAAAATACCCTTCTCATTTAAAACACATACACACACACCTACACACACACATACACACATTGTAACCAAGAGCTTTTGGACTCAAAATACTTTGATCTAAAGGTATGTTTCTTACCTAGGCATTTTAGGTACAGAATTAGGGAAATAGAAATAATGGTGCTTGTGGGGGTGTTGGTGAGGAATGGGGGGACATGAGTCACAAGCCCCCTAAAATCACCCTACAAGGTAACAACTTATTCCATCAAGGCCAAAGTGAGCACCATTTCTTTCTAGGTGAATGATAATCTGCAAAAATCTTTCAAACTATTCACTTTTTCTGGCTCCCTCCATTCCTTGGAGAGGTGGGTAACAATGGGTGCAGAAGGGTGTATATACTAGCAAATGGAGTCACTTTGTTGTTTGGTTTTGCTTGCCTGCTTTTCTTTGTTGTAAGGTGAGGCTCATTGGGGGTGGGGGGCAGGTGCAGTGAATTCAGAAATGGTTGTGATGTAAGAATAAAAGGCATCACTAAAACCTTGAATAAACATATGCTTGTAAAGTCATTCAAAAGACAGATTTTTTTAACAAGCCACATTTTATTGTACCAATTTCACACAGTAAAAATAAATGGAAAGCAGACATGTCTAAATTCTCTTACTGATTCTCTTGCAGACAACATCACCCAAGGTAAAGGTCTGAAAGCCAAGAAGAAATCCAGTGTTAATCTTTCCTGGAATGTCTTGCAGTATATCAGCATGTGATACCCATCAATGACTCTTGTATGTTAGATATACTAGAGATAGGTTTGGCAATCTTTCTGGGTTTTTGTTTGGATTGTCCATGCCTCCTGAGGGAACCCTGGGGAGGGCTGTCTTTGGGGTCTTCGAGGGCCCCATTTAAAAATATAAATATTCCCAGCAAGGTTCACAGTGTAAGGATGACAGAGATGCCAGCTGGAAAAGGGTTTAATGCCTGAAGGGGGATTAGCAGGAATGGGTAGAGGATTAGGTGACTGGGGGTGAAGGGATGATAGGATCATGGATTTTTAGCTGAAAGGAGCATTAGGGGTCACCCACCCAACTCCCTGGGAGTCTGCCATAAAGGTTACATGCTTCTTTACTCAGGGTGTTGGGCAATACCTCCTCCCCTTCCCTCCTCCATCCCTGCTGTCCTCCATGTTTTTCTCTCCTCCCCTCTTTTCTCCCTCTTCTCTACTGTCCTCCATCCCCTCACCTGTCTTTCCCTCATCCCCTCTTCCCTCCTCTTTGAGAGCAGGCACTGCCTCCCTTATTCTATTGGCAGCCCCAGTACTTGACACCTAGTATATGTTCTCCAAATGCTTTTTGGATCCATCCCCCACAACCAAGCAGGAAGAGAAACACCTGATCACTTACAGTGGTGAGTATATCTCCATTCAGTTCAGTGACAGACTTCATTGCTTTCAAAATTGTTACCAGCTTGTTACCTCCTTCTAGATTCACTACACCCTGTAGGGAGACAGAAGAGTTAGCTCTGGCAAGCCCTAGGGACTGGGGGTGAGCCAGGGATGCACTGGTAAATGTGCAACAACTGGTTTTCTGGAGGGAAAAAATGTACACACAAATTTCCATTATAATCTGTAGTATTAACATTTGAGTATTATTTGCAGTGTTAACACTTTCTCCATCACTTTAAAGTAGGCAATCAATAAAACAATAAATCAGTCCTTGATTTGTAGTGTTTACTATTTTCTGAGGGGTAAATGCTCACACTTAAAATTTAACAATGGATGGCATCTCCTGCCGGTTTCAGCTGGCTCCAGCACACCCCTGAGTAAGTGCCAAGCCAGATTCCCTGCAGAACTTCTTGTTTCTATACTTCACTGGCTGGATTGTTTTCTAGTTCTCTTAGCCCTTTCCTTACTTTTCCTCCTCTCCCCTTTTCTCTTCTCTTCCTTTTGCTGTCTGTGAGTCAGTCAATAAATATTTATTAACCGTCTAAGATGTGTCACATTGTACTAAGTACTGAAGACAGTCCCTGCCCTCAAGGAGCTTACAATCTAACCGGGGAAACAATAAGCAAACAGGTACAAACAAGTCATAGACTGGATAAGTGAGAAATAATTAACAGAGGGAAGGCCCTAGAACTAAGCGGTTGGGGAAAGTTGTCTGTTTTTTTTTCAGCCAAAGACAAGGTTGATTGAAGATTCGCCATATTACAGTTTTAAGGAAGCTGAGCATCTGTGGGTTATTGGCTAGATTGTGAAAATCTGCGCTGTTGGGGAAGGTTTCTTGTAGAAGAGTGGGGGGAGATTACAGTTGGGACTTTAAGGAAGCCAGCAGAGTCAGCAGTCTGAGCGGAGGAGTGAGAGCATTCCAGACATGGGGGATAGACAGGGAGAATGCTGGAGCTGAGAGATGGAGGGTCTCGTTTCATGAACAGCTGGGAAGCCAGGGTCACTGGATGGCAGAGTATGTATCAGGGAGTAAGGTGTGAGAAGACTGAAAATGTAGGAGGGGGCTGGGTTATGAAGGAGACAAGTCAGCTACTGAACACAGCCAGCATGGGCTGGAGGCACTGCTTCCTGGCTGGTCCTCTATACCATATTCCACCAGACTGCTTTTCATCTAATCTACCTATCTTGCAACACGTTGGCCAACAGAGATATGTTTGTGTCTTATCTCCCTAGCAGGCTGCTAGCTTACTCCAGGGGTTATGGACCAAGTTTTAGCTAATCTTTGCATCTCCTCCAGGGCTTAGCCCAGAGGCTAATACGCGGCACCTTAATGAATACATGCCCCTAAATTGAATTAAGTTATATTCTTACCTTGACCTTTTCTCCAGTGGGAGCGGTCAGCTCACACTCCTCCCCCAGGGTGAATTCGTTCACCTGGATTTGGTTATCGTTGTTAACGATGAACTTGAAGTGATTTCCATTTTGTACAATTTCGGACATTCCCCTGGTATCCTTTCTCTTCTGTATGATGTCATCAGGTAGACCTAGTTCATACAACAGACATTCAGACCTAGAAGGCATCTAAGAGCCAAAGGATCTCATTTGGGTCTCCTGACAGCCCTGGGAGGTAGGGAGTATTATTATCCCCATTTTCCAGATGAGGAAGCCAACATTGAGAGCAGTGAGATGATGCAATCCATGTCACCGAATGAATTAAGAGCAGAGCCAAGGCTCACATTCAGATCTGACTCCTCATTCTGTTGTTCTTCACCCTGACACCCAACCCAAGCTCCCGAATGCCTGCCCAGAGCCTCACTAGTTGGATTATTTCACTTGCTGCAGATTCCCTGTTAGTATTTTAAGTTCATCCCTTCTGGCAACCACAAGTATAATGCCCCTGTCCCTTTGATCCCAACATTTGATGCCCAAAGGCTGTTTTCCTAAGCACTTACCAGCAGCCTTCAAGAAGGCTTCAAAATTCTCTTGGGACTGGAGCTGGTACTTTCCTGAGAAGTTCATGGTGGAAGGATGTTCTCTCAAAACACTGGCTTGGAGAGAAGGCGCCTGGCATGGCCCTGAGGGGCTGGTTTTATAGGGGGCTCGTTCCCTTCAAAGATTGGTCAGAGGTTATCGGTTGGATTCTGCTCAATCATTAACTCTTTGGGAGCAATGTTCAGGGAAAAAGAATAAGGTAGGCATAGGGGGAGTTAACTGGAGTACCTGGTCACTTGCTACAGGAGCAGGAGGTCATCTATCCAACTGTCCAGAGTGTCTGGGGCTGGGAGGGGAGGACAGTGCCCACTGGCATAAGGAAGGGGAAATAATGAAGTCTTTTCCATTTGTGGCAACAAGAAGAAATATCAATGTGGCACTTTTTTGTTTTTTTATTACATCGTGGTTTTCTTATGCATTAGCTCATTTGTTTCTTACAATTATCCTGTAGGGTAGATGATCAAATCATAGTTGCTTCAGTTTTACAGATGAGGAAACCAAAGTTTGTCAAGGTCACACAGTGTGTATAACACTGAGCTGGGGTGGATATCGAGGGATTTCTCAGGCTCATCTTGTCATTTCTCACCTGCAGGACTTCGCATAAAACAGGGTACTGAATTTGAAGCCAGAGCTCACTACAAGAAGCTTATGTTTTACTGTGTGTGTGTGTAAGTACATGTGCTCTGATGTGTATGTGTGTGTATGTGTATAGGAGGATGGAGTATTCATTTTTATCTCTGTGTCCTCAGTATGTATCACACAGCAGACATTTAATAAATATTTGCTAAATGGAATTCAACCCGAGTTATTCTCTTATAGTTTAGGATTTTCACTTTCATTTTCTCAGATTTTACATTGACCCCTAAACTGAACTTTTTATTGTTCGGTCATTTTCAGTTGTGTGCAATTCTTTGTGACCCCAGTTCAGGGTTTTCTCGGCAAAGTTACTGGAATGGTTTGTGTTTTCCTTCTCCACTTTATTTTACAGAGAGGGAGCAATGTTGCCAATCTGGACCAGGACCAGGGACAGTGGTGAAGGGGCCACAACCTCACTGGCTTATAGACACTGGCCAGCACAGAAAGTAAAATAGAAGGAGTCACAGGTAGAAAACCCAGATACCACCATAAGAGTCAGTCCCCTGATTGCCTGAGGTGTGTTTCATCACTGATGAAAGGTTCCTCTTTATTCTTAAAGCTGCCCTTGCTTGTCTTATGGCAGACCAAAACAGAGACAGGGAGATGGACTAGAGGGATGCAGGAATAAATGTAATTTGTCATTTCAGGGCTAAGTCAAGAGTGAGATGCTACATACAGCTACATGCTCTGGACACCATCTCATGGTCCTGTGTTAGTCCTCACATTTCTTTGTTCTCTTGGCCTTCTGACCCTGCTATCCAGACCCTCCCAATGAAGACTTTCCCCTCTATTTGGCTTCCACAATGTTCTTATCCTGGTTCTTCTGTCTTTCTGCTCCCTCCTTCTCAGTGTCCTTTCCTGACTCATCAATCATCTTCCAATCCCTAAGTGCTGGTTTCCCCCCAAGGTCCTTTTCTTCTTGCCTTGTTTCTCTCCACTCTGTCACAGTGATCCCAATCAGTTATGTGTGTAATACCCTTCTCTTTACTGTGATATTCAAGTCTATACTTGTAACAATACTAAATTCTCTCCTGAATTCTTATCTGACATCTCCAACTGCCCTTTGGATACTTCTATCTCAGTGACCTTGTGGCACATAGAATGACATGTTTAGGGTTTGAAGAGACTTTAGGGAGCATTATATCCACTCTTTCCTTTAATGCATGAGGAAATTGAGGTCCAGAGTGATTAAGTATACAGTTAGGTGACACAGTGGATGGATTGCTGGACTTGGAGTCAGGAAGACTGAGTTCAAATACTGCCCCTGACATTAACTAGCTGTGTAATCCTAGACAAGTTACTTACTTTCTCTAAGCCTCAGATTCCTGATCTGCAAAATGGGGACAATAATCATAGTACCTACCTCACAGAGTTATTAGGAGGCCAAATGAGATGACATAAAGTGCTTTGCAAACATTAAAATGCTATCTAAATGCTAGCTACTTTCTTTAGTATAGAGTGACTTGCCCAGATTCATCGAGCTAGTAAGTATCTGATGTGGGAGTTGAGCTCAAATCCATATCGATGTTCCGTACCCTGCAGTCCACTGCCACAGGCTGCATCCAATTCAGTGCCTCCAAAACAGAATCCCTCTTTTCCACCTAAATTTGCCCTTCCTCCAAACTTCCTTTCTTCTTTTGAGGACAATCAGCCAACCTGATTCAGAATCTCAGATTCTTCTTCCCTCCATCCTTTCCAGCCCCGATATCCAATTCATCCCCAAGTCCTGTCGATTTCAACTCCACAGCATCTCTCGAATCACTCCCCTCTTTTTCCACCCAAACTCTCAGGTCCGTATCACTTCTCCGAGTAGCCTCCTAAGTGGTCTCTCTTCTTCCAAGAAGGCTCTCTCTTCTTGAATCTATTCCTTACCTAGCTGTCAAAATAATCTTTCTGTGACCAAGGCACGACCACGTCACTTCTGAACTCTCTTCAGTGGCTCCCCGTGGTCTGCAGGATAAAATGCAAACACACTCTTCAATCAGGCATTTCAGGTTCACACCAGAAATGAGAGAACCATTCTGACTAGCATGAAGTTGGTCTTTAATATAAGCACAGAGATACTAAGAAAGGAAAACAGCATCTATGAAACACCTACTATGTGCGAAGCACGGTGCTAAGTGCTTGACAAATATGATCTCATTTGATCTTCAAACCAGCTCTGAAATGTAGGTATTATTATTGTTCACATTCTACAGATGAGGCAGACAGAAGTTCAGTGATTTGCCCAGAGTCACACAGCTAGGGAGTGTCTGAGGTCAAATTTGAATTCAGGTCTCCTAACTCCAGACCCAGTGCTGTGTCCACTGAGCCATCTAGCGCAGGTGAACAATATTTTCTGGTGCTGAAAGAAGTGGTGGATAGGATTGCCAGGTCACCGTCAGTGATATCTGAAAGATCATGGAAGATGGCAATGGCCTACAAGGTGGGAAAGGGGACAATGCAGTCCACATTTTCAAGAAAGTGATGACATCAGAGTCTTCCAATTAGAGGTCGGTGAGCTTGGCTTCCATTCCTGGGAAAATTCTAGAGTGGATGATAAAAGATTAGCCAACATGTGGAGAAGGAAGTGGTAATTACAAAAGAGCCAGCTTGGTATCATTCAGAACACCACTGGCCCCATTAAGTTCATTGTCTCTTTTGACAGGATTACTCATTCTTTGGAGGAAATGCTGTGGACAAGATTTTCCTAAGTTTTAGCAAAACTTGTAGTAAAGAATCTTGTACTATTCTCATGGAGAAGGTGGAGAGATGTGGAACAGCAATTACTTAGATCCAGAAATCACTGGATGACTGGACCCAAAGATTAGCTGTTAGTGTTCAATACCAACATGGTACCAGGCAGATCTCCAGGGGAGGGAGGACATAAGCATTTGTTATTGTTCAATCATAGCCAACTCTTCATGACCCCATGGGACATAGCACACCAATACTGTCCATGGGATTTTCTTGGCAAAGATACTAGAATGGTTTGCCATTTCCTTCTTCCATGGATTAAGGCAAACAGAAATTAAGTGACTAGGTCAAATAGTGTAAGTGTCTGAGGTAGAATTTGAACTCAGGTCTTCTTGATTCCATACCCAGTACTTTATCCATTCAACCACCCGACTGACACATAAGCAGTTATATAGCACCTACTATGTGCCAGGCACTGTGCTAAGTACTCTACAAATGTATTCACATTCAGTCTATACAACAGCACTGAGAGGGAAGTGTTATCATTATTTCCATTTTGCAGTTGAGTAAACTGAGGCAAACAGGGATGAAGTGACTTGACACAGATAGTAAGTGTCTGAGTCTGGATTCAAATGCAAGTCCTCCTGACCCCAGATTCAGGGCCCTACCAACTGTGCTCCCTAGCTGGCCTTAGTAGAATCCCTCAGGGTTCCAGGCTTGTCCTGGGCTGATTTTAATCAGTGATCTGCATAAAGGCACAGAGGAGATGGTCATCAAATTTGCAGATGACACAAAATGGGGCTGGGGCTGGAAGGAGGGGGGCAGATAACTAACATATTGGATGATAGAATCAGAATCTAAAAAGATTTTGATAGGCTAGATCATTGGGCTGAATCTAATGACACAAAATCTAACACAAATCAATGTAAAGCCCTACACTTGGATACCAAAACTCAATTTCCTAAGTATAAAAGGGGAAGGCATAGTTAGACAGCTGTTGCTGTGGAAAAAGTAATGGGGACTTTAATGGACACAAGCTTAACATAAATCAGTCATATGATGAAACTGTCAAAAGCGCTAATGCAATCTTTGAGCTCCATGGAGTGGGCGCTGGCTTCCAGGAACAGGGAGCACCCTGCCTTCATCAGGCTTCATCTGGAGGAACACGTTCTGGTCTGGGTGCCACAATTTAAGAATGACATTGAGAAGTTGGGGGAGCGTCCAAAGGCACCAAACAGAACGATGAGCTCCTGTTTAATAAGAATGAGTGGGTGTTTAACTGGAAGAGAAAAGATTCAGGGAGGGCATGATGATTGTGTTTTTATGTAAAGGACAAATTCGATTTGTTCTCCTTGGTCTGGGTGGGCAGAACTAGGAATCACAGGTAGAAGTTAGAAGAGGATGAATTCAATCCGATGTCAGGGAAAACTTCCTAGCAATTAAGGCTGAGCCCCAGGAGAGGTAGTAAGTTCCCCATCACGAAAGCTCTTCAAGTAAAGGCTGGTTTGATACCACTTATGGTATATGGTACATAGCAGGGATTGTGTTGGTCATGATGGGTGCCAGGCCCCATCTGAGTCTCAAATTCAGGACCTCTGGTCTGTCTGAAATCTTCTTTTCCAGCCTTATTTTATTCTCCTTTAGGGAGAGAAGTGGTGGAGAGTAAGCCAGACTCAGAGCTAGGGAAACCTGAGTTTCGATTCCCCCTTCTCACACAGCAAGGTGAATCAATGGATGGAGTGCTGGGCCTGGAGTCAGGAAGACCTAAGTTCAA